CTTGACCGCAGCACCATGCCAACCTGGAATCTAGATGGACATATGTCGCCTCTGATTGCAGATTGGCATGTGGGTGGGGATGAGCCTGGATGGGGGATCAGCTTGATCGCAGCACCAGGGCAACCTGGAATCCAGAGGGAGGCTCACATTGGTATGAGCATACGCAAGGTTTCTAATTGACGTTTTGAGGGCAGAAGCTGCATTAAGGGAATGAAATGCTGGAAAGATGGCGTCACCCTCAGTGGTAGTGGGGAAGAAACGACCCCCCCCCAAACAGTATGTGCCATAATAATGCTGTGTAAAGTGTTATTTTAGTCAGTGTTTATCTTTGGGGGGTTACTTCCAGTTTAACTTATAGTCCGTACGCATCTGTATGAGTCCGGGGAAGGAGGAGCGACTCGTTCAGCTGTGCGCGGTGTGATTTAGATGGTAGCAGGATAATAAATTACCATTCTTCACCTGAGCAGTAAATGTCTGAGCATAGCGTCCGGCCCATCATTACAATGTCCTTGCTCTGCGCCCATCACCTCTCTTAAAGGAGAACTATGAGGGGGGGGGGGGTGCTTTTCACTCACCAAACACTGACCCCATAGTTCTCCTTTTAAGAAATTGGCCATCAGCTTCCCATGTCGGGTCTCTGCGTCCCGGTAACGGATCTTCCTCCTGTTTTGGCAGTACTCGTTGGTGAAGGACGTCATCTCCTCTCTCAAGCGACATCGGATGCACGAGCAGCAGTTCGCTCACCCGCCTCTGCTGGTGCTCAACAACTTCGGCACGCAGGGGATGCACGTGAAGGTGATGGCCACCATGTTCCAGAACATGTTCCCCTCCATCAATGTTCACAAGGTAGGAGCAAGATTCATCATGATCTCTGAGCAGCGTTGTCGTAGTTACACTTTGGCTTGAAGCTGAACTTCATGTAAATGGCTGAATACACCTTCAGCTTTGCGTATAATCTGAACTTCATTTTTGTTTTTTTTTTCAAGATCAGTAGGCAACAGTTCAGCAAAAGTTAAAGCCGACCTCCGGGCCAGCGGCTAAATACACAAATTAAATGCACATGTGAGAGCTGTTTGACCTGATTTTTATTTCTCTCCATCCAGTCTTGAGGTTCACACAGCTCTGCCACGCAGCACAACCAGGATGTAGGCATAGGCACCACTTCTCTCTTAGTTTTATTTCTATATACTGAATATAACTGGACAGTGAAGGAGCAGCAGCGGACTTATCAGGCCATCCCTCCTTTTACTCTGTGCTCTCCTATCAGTATGCACCTTTTGAACACATGTGCATGCAGCACATGTGATTGGCTCCCGGTGTTGCCCCTCCCTCTCCCAACCTGAGCACTGCTGTAGAGGGAATTCGCGAGGCTGATGCCAAGTCATGTTCAGTTACTTGCACTAGATGCAGTCATTAATGTGGATGTCGGCGTGTTGTCTGCCCCCTCTCCATCTTTTAAAGGTTGCCATTTTTCCAGTGTCGGAGGGTCTTTGGATCGCTGCCTCGGCTTTCCCGTTCTTGGCTGTCTCCTTTCCCTTGCGGGATCCTATGGAGCCGCCGTAGCCATCCATCCGTGTGTGAGAGAACTACACCATGAGGTGAGGGCAGTACCTGCACTGACGCACAGAAGACAGACCTCAGGAGCCGCTGTCAATCACTTCCCTTGGGGGAGGAGCTTGAGGCGTGTCTTCTATGTGTTGTCCTCTGCGCGTCGGTGGTGGCAGCGTCCCCACGTCTGATGTCCAAAGATTCTTAAAGTCCCATCATGAGAAATACGGAGGCCGCCATTACCCACCATCTGAAATCCCTATGTACCTGGCTGTACCGCTGACCCCACCGGCTTTTGTACTTGCTGACCCGGGACTGGTCTCCGCAGAGGTCATCCGTGGCTGCCGCCATGCTATCGGTGGTGTTGTCCCATTTGGGGCTCTTCATGGCTGACCTGGGACTGGTCTCCGCAGAGGTCATCCGTGGCTGCCGCCATGCTATCGGTGGTGTTGGCCCATTTGGGGCTCTTCATGGCTGACCCGGAACTGGTCTCGGCAGAGATAATCAATGGCTGCCGCCATGTTTCTCTCTGGGCTTCTTTTCCCCGATCAGTAGTGTTGGCCCATTTGGGGCTCTTCATGTCTGGAAAGGTGGGCGGGGAACTTCCTTGCGTGACGGATCCTCCCATTCCTGAGGAGTTTCCGGTGATCCTTGGTTTAGTATACGCTCCGAGACGTCCATTAGGATCCCTCTCGTTGGGTCGGTGAAGCCACACTGAGGAGCGGTATGAATAGCAGCTTATTGAATTGAAGGCGTCAC